GTGGGGGGGGCGGGGGGACCTATGCTCGGCGACGCAGGTGTAGCAGCCGGCGCCGCAGGCGGCGTCCATGTCGAAGGCGTCGTCGTTGGAGGACTGGGGCGTCGGCCCGTCGCCGTCGAGCATGTAGGACATGCCGACGTCGCCGGACTCGTCGCCGGAGCCGACGCCGTTGACGCAGGCCCACTTGTGCTTGAGGGTGAAGACGCGGCAGACGACGGCGTCCGTGAGCGTCGGGTAGGACGTCGTCATGAGGATGTCCGGGTCCGTCGGCGACATGCGCTTGATCTGGACGATCTGCGCGCCCGGCGTGCCCGCGGCGAAGGTCTTGCCCGACGTCGACACGTCGCAGAGCTTCGGCAACACCTCGAAGGCCGAGTTCGTGATGTTGATGGGCTTGCCGAACTCGCCGCGCTCGATGAAGTACTTGCCGTTGGAGCGCACGTGGATCTCGAAGTACTTGTCGCCGGACACGGCGATGCCGAGGTCCATCGACGGCGCGGACGTGTCCTGCACCGGCGACCCCAGGGCGAGGTTGTACTCGTCGAGGCCCTCCGTGGCCACGTGGGTCCACTGGCCGCAGAGCCACTCCAAATCCGGCGCGCAGTGCTCCGTCATGATGAAGATGTTCCACGCGTCCTCCTCCGCGGGGCTCAGCGTCGACCGCTGGTCCTTGTAGTTGAAGCCCGCCGTCGCCATCACCGAATTGATCTGCTCGAGGGCGATGGCCGGGTCGACGACCATGCCCGCGAAGCGCGCGAAGGGGTCCTCGTCCTCGTCGTCGTCGGCCAAACCCTCCATGGCCTTGCCGTCGTCGTCGTCGTCCGCGTTCATCATCATCACCGGCGCCGGCTCGGGCTTCTTGCGGAAGGTGACGACGGCCTTGAGCTCCGTGAGCGACGGGAAGGTCGACGTCACGGTCAGCGTGCCCCCGACGCCGCGCGCGTAGACGGACGTCTGGCCGCCCTCGGTCTCGACGGCGAACGACGCCGTCGCGCCGTCGATGGTCAGCGTCTTCGCGAGCTTCTTGCCCGTGCGCGCGTCGCCGATGAAGACGGGCGTGCCGGCGACGCCGCGCTCGACGACGGGCGCCCCGTCGCCGGCGTCGCAGCGGATCTCGTAGGCCTTGGACTTGGAGAAGGACACGTCGAGCTTCGCGTCTTCGACGGCCACGGCGCCCAGGAAGCCGCCGAGGGCCGCGCCGTACGCCTCGACGCCCTCGCCCTTGTCGCCCTCCCACTCGCCGCAGGCCCAGCGCGCGTCGTCGAGGTAGCCCGCCGCGGGGGGCAGGATCGCCGCGCCGGCCTCGTCGGCCGCGAGCGCCGTCTTCTTGTCCTTCGCGCCGACGCCCACGAGGGCCGCGACGCCGTCGACCTGCTCCGCGGCGAAGGTGTCGGGCTCCTCGACGACGACGGCCGCCGCCGCCTCGGCGCGCAGGAGGTCCTCGTAGGCGAGCTTCGCGTTCTTGGCCGCGTCCGCGTCCTGGCGGGCCTTCCGGACGTGCGCGGCGACCGTGACGGCGACGGCGGCCTTGAGCTTCGACACGGCGCCGTCGCGCTCGTCGCAGGGCTCCTTCTTCAGGGCCATGACCACGGGCGCCGCGAGCAGCGCGCCGCCCTCGGCCTCGTCGGCCTTGCTCGCGACCTCCTCCAAGGCCGCGCGGCGCTGCACGGCCTCGACGGTGTCCGCGAGGCCCTTGGCGGCCTTGCCCGCGTGGGTCCTAGCGAGGACGACGAACTTCTTGAAGGGGTCGTCCTTCATGGGCACCTTCTCGTGCGCCTTCATCCCCCGGAGCTCCTCCTGCTCGACGTACGCCTCCTCGCGGCGCTCGCCGAGAATGAACGTGAACTTGACGGGCCGCCCCGCGGAGCCGATGGACTGCAGGATCTGCGGGAAGGTCTCGGGCGTCGGCTCCAGGATGAGCTTGTCGTTGATGGCGATGAGCTCGTCCGTGGGCATGATCCGGTCCTTGATCTCCTGAGCTTCTCCAGTCGGGCAGAC